TTGATTTTTCTTTGATTTTTTGAAACAAGTTGCTTTAAATTTGGTTGAAAATTAAGATAACACGATCAAAAATTGAGGCGCAAAAAAAATCACGTAAAACATAATGTAGTGTACACCATTCCTGGAGAGATTACTCTGTGTAATAATAGTAATGACATAATGTAATAATAGGCCTAACAATAAATTGAAAAAAAATTCCATAGGTTAGAAGGAACTTCAAGAGAAATTAAAAAAAAAATCCGGAGAAAGTTGGAATATATTTCTAGAGAATGTTTAGAGAAACATCCAGAGAAATCATAAGAATTTTCTGGTTTTAGTTAGAAGAAACTTCAGCGAATGAACTTCGGGGAGAAGTTGTAGGAATCTTCCGGTGGAAGTCAGACGAACCATCCGGATGAAGTTGTAAAAAAAAACATTCTAATAAAACTGGAACAAGCCTCCACGTGTTCATTTTCACTTTCATGTAATTTCCCCTCATCGGTACCGGTAAAGAATGACACATATTAACGGCACCATGAGAAGTTTTCTTTACACAATCCTTGGCAATGTGCCCTTCAGTCCCACATCTGTAGCAAACTGCACTTCGTGATGCACCAGTTCTGGTACCCGTTGATCTAGGATTCGGGTTTCTGCTCAATCGGGACTCAATCGAATTAACTTTACAGAGACGAGGATTCTTTTTCACTATACAATACATCTTAAAACTATAGCCAAAAGGTATAACACAAACACTTTATCTTCCGCTGTCCAATGAGCCTCCTCCATCAGAACGGGAGCCGCTTCCAGCGGTTCCATTGTATGGCAGTATTGCCAACGGGGGGCAGAGTGCTTCAATTGCCGCAATGGACGCAAAACGTGGTCAGCACTCACACACTCATCACGAAACGGTTGCTTTCCAGAGTCGACGACGCATCGACTGAAAGAACTGCTGATGAAGAACAATGAGGAGGACCCACACAATTGTTGCTTCCGAGTAAACAGACGATCGCGTGACACACATCGAGAGTGGCCTGCTTCTGTCGACAGTCGAATCAGTAATCATTCCACGGATATGTAGATGGAAGAATGCTATGGGAAAAATTCCAATATAAGTTAGAATAATGTTCTGGGAGTAGTCGGGCCACTTTCAGGAGATTACAGACATTCAGGATAAGTTGAAAGAATCTTTCGGAGAAAGTTTAAAAAAAAATCCCTTGAAACCATCGTAAACATTTCTCTGGAATCATGGTTAAAAACCTTTGAAATTATCCTGAGAAATCGATTTCTTTAAAATATTATTTTTTTATTTTTAACCAAATCGCTTCTCAGAATTACTTTGAAATTTTGCTCATAAATCCTTATAATTATTTTCTGAATTATATTGAAACATTGCTTAGAATTTCTTATTAATTTTCCTTCTTTTTTTTAGTTAATCTCAGAGTACGATGCTATTGGTATTTTTCTCAATATTGCATTGAAGTTCTCTTATAAGTATTCCTCAGTATTCCATTGAAAGTATCTTCTAATCATTAAAGAGTGAATTTTCACCAGAACTACCAGAAAAAAATCACATGCTATTCTGCTCACGATCCCCATAAAATTCTTCTCAGAATCTCTCTTGTAATTCTAAAAGTATAATAACATTGGAATTTATAAAAAAAATCTTAATTCCTACTTTAAAAAAAATCCTCAAAACCTGTGAATTTTCACAATCATCTTTTGAAATTTGCATTTAAAAACCTTCTGCATTTCAGATCAAAAAATAAAGAGGTTAACGATTTTACTGCTTTTTTATTTGAGTTGTGCTAATTTGTCATACAAAACTGGGTTAACTTTTTTAAGTTGTAACCATATTGCATGGGGAAAAAACATGCTAAAGAACAACATAATTGCATATTTATAGGGCCAACATGGGCACTACTTAAAATGTGCCTTTGATGCTACTTCATTTTTGGTTTTTTTTTTAAAGTAGCAATGGTATAACCTATAACTTTCGATTTTTCACGTATTTCAAAATGGGTTTTTGTGGGATGAAACTTCACACTTTTTACCGTCATTTCCCATCAAAATTAAAAAAAATGAACAATTTCAACTTGTGACAGTATTGCATGAAAACGATGATAAATAGAAAATCACCAATCGGATGATATACTGTAGGTGCAAAAGCAGCTCGTAGCAGACGTGAGTCTCTTTCCACCCCACCGCTGGTTGTCAAAATGAACCACTCATTACGCCGTCTTAAGACGAACCAGCCCAGGGCTGAAAGTCTCCTTAATAAAGATATATAAAAAAAATACGCAGTCTGCTGTGAGTAAGTTTTTGTGAACGACGGCTGGTACCATGAGCGATCTGCTAACCACGCTGTTTCTAGTTTTGCAGATTTAAGCAGAATGATGCGCAAGCCAGTGATACTCGATTATGACGACTGGGTTAGGGAAAAGTTTTTTTTTTCATGAATACAGTCATAAAATTATCACTTTTTATTTATTTATTTTTCAAAAATGATTTACGGAAAATGGGAAAAGTATTTATTACAGCAGATTTGTAAAGTTTTGTCCTATCGATCGGTGTATTTGGATTTTAATTGCATCTATAAATTACAAAGTTATAAACGTTTAAAACCTAACACCGTTCCGTGACAGTCGCAATTTTAGATTATCGAATTACTGTACCCTGTACCTTCTCGTAAGACGTAGTCTACGTGGATACTAACTTTTTAATTTCGATTTTATTTTGAGAACTATCAAAGAACATAAGAACACGTGAAAACGCATATTTTGAAGGTCATTGAGAATTAATAGATGTTGTTTTACGCAAGTTATGACGTTTTGTGCGCTCTTGAAGTCCTTTGAAGATGGTTCTCAAAATAAAAAAGTTAATGCAAAAATGAATGATAAATAAGTTGATGAGATAGCATTTTTATTTCTTTAGTAAAGTTGCTTGATATTAAGTTATCTAATTCATTGTAAAAGCAAGTATTCCTCTTAACATTAAACATAAAAAGTTACACATTTTTATTTCATTAAAAGAGGACCACACTAGTCACTACCTACACCAAATGGAAGATCTTAACTTGTAGACAAACTCTTTCCATCCAAACATCGATTGTTATCGTGAAGTTTTACGAGTGGTTGGCATTATGTAAATTAAACAGGGTTCTTAATTTTGATATTCAAATTTCTAAATTTTGTGGGGGCCCCTAAAATGTGTTGGCCCGGGGCCGTGGCTCCCTTCCCCCCGTAAATGCGGGTCTGCTCGCTCTCCCCATTTGTGTCAACAAACAAGAACTAGAGGGGAAAAAATCCAGTGACTGGCCTGCCACTACCAGCATCGTTGTCATCTCAAATGACAAGAATGACAACGACCTTGCCCGGCCAATGCGTCACATCGGCGTCGTCGTTGATCAGAGTGATGTTCCATACACGAGTAAACAATAAACATTCAACCGCTTCAGCTGGTAAATTACACCGCCACACTTGAGTTCGAAAATGTCCCACGAATTGAGCGACGAGGTCCCCTCGTTTGAACTAACGACTAATGAAAATGACCCGATAATTTCCAGCACCTCTCTTGGGAATCATTTTTGCACCAACCAACCTCTTGCAATGAACTGATAACAAGAAGGTGGTGAGGTGCTAATTCGTGTTTTTATCAATCGTCCAATATTGTGATTGTATGTATGTTTCTGTGATAGCGATCGATAGGCGCAAATTTTACCGAATGATAACACACACTGGTACGCCCCCCGGCTTTGGTACAATCGATAACCGATTCTGCTAAAACCGACAACGATGACGACCGGCCAGTTTCGTACCGAGTTGCGACTTTGGCGAACGCGCGTGATCGTCTTTTCTCGCCCGATCCCTCTAGGGAAGGAAAAATAATATAAAAGGAGGTATTCGTCTTTGACGTCATCCCTCGGTTTCGCGCTTTGGTTCTTCCGGACAAATGCGGCGCCCTAGTCCTTAAATGGGACCATGGTTGTTCTGAAAAGGTAGACTCAAGTTACCGAGTGACGGGGGATTCAATTTCAACGCATGTCGGACGGAGAACAAAACGTCGTCGTCGCAGTCATTGGTGATTACGTAGCGAGAGTAACTTTGATAATTACTCATACTAGAGCTCTGTGGATAGTAGTAGCTGGCAGTTAGTAGTAGGGTTTAGAAGATAAGATCCCCATGTGCTTGTTTGAGTAAGAGCGGTCGTGCAGGTGGATGAGATCACACTCGCGGTGCAGATTCGCTGTGTGATGGAAGAGTGAGAAAGAGTGCGCGAGTAGCTGGCTAACAACGATTTTAATTTGAATGGAAAACATTTAATTGTTCAAGCGGCGCTGAATCACATGACGTACGCATACGACGGCCGTGGTGTGTATCGCTCGCCAAATCAAGCTTCATAATTGGAGGTAGCGCATTTGCTCTGCCTTGCTGCGTATAGAGGTGTGAAAGTGTTATGATTGTCGAGTAGTGAAATCGATTCGTCTTTCTCGCTGGAAGTCCGGATCTATAACCGGGACAGTTCGGATCGTTAAAAAGTGCATTCAACACGTTCAGAATAACAGCAGACCCTGGTTATCACCATCACCAGTGTTACCGTTCATTGTAATCTTATCTTTTTGTTGTTTCGGGTTGAGGACCGTGTTCCGTTACGTTTGCAAAATGATAAGATATCGTCTGTAGCAATATACTCTATGTTCCGCAATGCCTTCGGTTACCGCTGTTGCTGCTGCCGCTACAAGAGCAACGTTGTTGTTTGCAACGGTGGCCAGAATTTGATGATCTGGCAACGCTCGATGCCTCCCGCCCTAGAAGTCAAAGCTCGCCATGATAATTGTGTTGTCCTTAATCATACCACTCATCAAACGCTTAAGTGTTCAATGTTCCTTGTACTCATCTGGGTTATCAGCGCTACGAGACACATCGGTTATGGACATTCGGCTGTCAGGATCCACCGCTCGAATCGAATGTCAGAGCTGTTAACTCTAATCACTACGTTATTTCTTTCGTTGATCCTACTTACAGCTGACGATGACCTTCGCTATCTAAATGCTCCAACGGGGAAAAACCAGTGCACCATATAGAGACATTTTCAGTGAAGGTGAAAGTGTACCGCGCAGTGTATCTCTAACAAAAAAAAACAAATCCACTTATACTAGTGTTCAGAGCGAAAAAAAATAATAAAAAAATCAAGCTGTCATCCATCTGTTCGCCATGAATTCCAAGGAGTTTGAACGCAACGAGCCGAACCGGCGCAGCATCCGGCTCAAACCGAACAAACTGGAGGTCGTCACCCTCGGTGAACTACCGACGGCCGCCAAACGCACTACCCTTCTCAGTTCTCCGCAGCCGGCTCGCGTCGCTGCCAGAAACCTGCGCAACGAACAAAACTCCTGCGGACAAATCGACATCCGTGATGGCTACAGTCTTAAACTCAGTGACATTACGGGACTACCCCCGAAATCCTCCCATTCGTCTCCCATAGAACCGGAGGATCAGTCCCTCTCTGTGCTCCAGAACCTCGAACGTCAAATCCATACCATGGAGTTTGACACCCGCATGAACGCGGACCGTACCGCGGACGTACTGGATTCGAAAAAAGACCGTCCGGTTCACTATGGCGAGCTTCCGAGTCTGCTGAACACCGGCATCAGCGACGTGTCCGGAAACGGTTTCGGGTACATGGACAAAACCGGTGAAAGCGACAGCGACGACAATCTCGGTCCCAGTTCCTTCAAGCGCGGTGAAGACTCTCGCAGCTCCACCGGTGGGGCTTATACCTCCGCCGCATCCCGTAAACTCAAAACCACTCGCGTCATCAACCGAACCGCTTCCGACTCCAAGAACGCCGAAACTACGGCCAAGCTCCTCCGCCAGAAGAAGCCGGCTCCGCGGCCTCCGATGATCATTCCCACCACCTCGCCTCCGCAGGTGACCAAGCTGGTCCCGAAGGAAACCACCCCTATGGCTACAGCAGTCGGTGGATCTTCCGGTAGCAGTTCGGCGGGTTCCTCCTCGACAACGGGAAGCTCCTCGATAGCAGCAGCCAGAGCGTCGCCAGCCAGCAGCGTGAAGAATTCCACCGAACGAAAAATCAGCTCCGAGATAATGAAACACTTGGTCAGTCCGCAGAAATCTCAGGTAATGTGTTGACTACTGTGCGGCCGATAAGAGTCCGCTCTTCGATATAGCTAGCTAGCGATTGATGATTGATTGGTTGCCATGTTTTGCTCTGGCAAAGCGTTGAAGGAACAAATTATCCCTCTTCCTCCAGTGTGATAAGCTTCGTTCTTTGCGGCACCAAGGCCGCCGCGGTGGACCGATATGAATATCGTAGCTTTATCGTTCGCAGGAAACTTTCCATGGATAACTTTTCTCGCTTTTGCGTATCTTCTTAGCGTTATCTAGTTGGAACTTTTGCTGCTGGCGTTGTTGTTTTCAGATAAATTTAGTGAAATCTTGATTTCTTTTTCAAAAGAACGTATCTGCTTTTGTAAACAAAGATTCAAACGGTAATTTGTCGAAGCTCTAAGCACTATCCCGCAAGCTAACAACATCATCTTGTTGGCGAAACATTACCCTCTTCTGATGGTGGTGTTAGTTTGCGTGGGAGTGCTAGGAGTTTCATCGTTCAAATTTTTGTTTACAAAAGCAGATAAGTCCCTTTGAAAAAGTAATCGAGAAATGTTGCTGGAGCTGACGTGGTTGTCATCGTGAACTTTATCGTCAATTCTCCGAGCAATTGACATTGGTTTTTGTGTGTGCCGAAACAACCAGGTTGAACCGTAAATTACCACAGATTCAATCAAGTTTAATGAGCTGCAACTTCTCAGGATGAGCATCAACATTTCATGGCTACTGGTTGGTTATATTAATGATTCATCGGTTGATTTTGAGCCAGATTGTTTGAACAATTTTGGTGGAATCCTTTTTTTGTATAGTGCCTTTTTCAAAACTTCGTCTTAACGTGTCCCGGAAATGTTCTAAAGCCCACACCTCAAACTTCACGGGAAAATAAAAAAGGAAATAAACCAACACACTCAAAGCTCTTCTTTGGCGGTTTTTAAAATTATGGTGGTCCTCAAATTATTGTTATAGAAAATCTAACTTTTTTTTTAATGAAAATGCATGTTCTTCAGCAAAGTTATAGCTGACATGATTGCAAGCTACTTTTCTGAAGAAATTTTTTTTAAAGTTATATAGGGTTACAGGATGTAATGTCAGCCTATCCCCTCACTTCGGCCTATCAAGCAAATAACCCATTAATTCAGCACAAAATACACAATAATAATGAAAAACTAATACCACAACTGCTGTAAAATTGTAATCCGTAAAGTAATTGCCCATTTTTTGGGCACATTTTGAGCATTTATTGTTCTTTATCAAAGAAAAAGTTTAGTTAAATTTACTTAATTTTCGATTTAAAGGCGCCATAATCTTGCCGTATTATTGCACTAACGAAAATCTACAGAGCTGTGGTCATCAAAAAACCTCATCATACTTTGAAAGTACTTACCTTTTTGTCACATACTAGAATAATAAATCAATAAAACACTTTTCACTCTTACTGCTAATATAAAAGCTTTAACGCTTTTAGCGCTTTATAACTATGGATCGAACATTAGGGATGTAATGATGATGCTTGTTCCTAATTATGGCCTACGAACTTTATTCGATAACTTAGTTTTGGTATTGGTGAAACCATTCGCGTAGACGATGACTCTGCAACTGTTCACTCCTATAGGAAAACCCCATAAGCAGTTGTCCAATATCGTGAAACATTTAGGGGGGGATTGACTGCACGCTATTTCTAAACAACCTAAATTTGAGTAGAATCTACTCATATCCGTCAAAAGTAGGGCTACCGAAAATTGAGCAAACAAAATTGCAAATGACAAGATGACAAATGAATAACATCGTTCTGATTCAGGTTAATATTTTCCATTGGTCATCTTGTTAGTCTAAACTTTGTTTACTCAATTTGGTGTACCCTACTTTTGACGAATATGACTAGATTTTTCTCATATTTATGTTGTTTAGAAATAGCGTGTGTACCGTGTTGACCCCTCCTTTCACGCAAAGATTAACATTTTGCGTACGGGATTTTTCAGTGGAATGAAAGGATAAGAATGTTTCACGAAGGGGGCGACCCCGGCGTAGTGGTTAACATCCATGCCTCTCACGCCAAAGTCACGAGTTCAAATCTTACCCCCGGACAAGTCACGAATAACCCAAGAGTGTTAAAGTGACTATAAAAAAAAAAAAAAAAAAAAAAAAAAAAAAAAAAAAAAAAAAAAAAAAAAAACTCTGAAAGAAACCTCTACTGTCCAAAACAGCCTTTAGACGGGGGGTAGATTCATATAGCTGGGACAAAACCAATTGAATTTTTCAATAAATACTGTGCCAACGGAGCAGTTCCACACCAAATGATGAATTGGATAAACTCGGCCTTCTCCGATTTGCATGAATTGCATAATAGTTTGTTATCGGCAATTGCTCAAATTTTTGATCAAAAATTGCAATATTAGTAATATTAAAAAAAAAATAAAAAAACGGTAACGGCACATCTGATCGAAATGACGTTTGAGACAAAGTTGTTTCTCTACAACTTTGCCTCAAACGTCATGTCAACAATGTTATTCTGAAAAAAAAACAAAAACAAAAATATGTGTATAGTAATTTCTAGTAAAGTTCCGGAATAAATTTAAGAACTGCTTGTCTGATTTTTTAAATATTTTTTTTTACAAAAAAAAACCTCATAAAAAATGAAAAATCGTGGAATGTTTAAATTATAGACACTTAAAATTGTCAAAATTCGTAAAACAAGAACTTTTTGTTAAAACGTTTTTACACGTAATTTATACTCAGAAAATAATGTTTGAGAGTTGGTTGTAAGGAAATTTTCAGTAATAATGTTTGAGACATTTTAAATCATTTTCTGTAAAAATACACAAAAAACATACTAACAAAATGTTAATGATTTTTATCAGTTTTCAAGTGTCCATGGTTGTAAAAATTTCAAAAGTTTGTATTTTTCATAGGTTTTGAATTGCTAAGATTTTTTTTTAAATAACAAAAAAAAATGCCGTCGTTTTTTTAATGTTTTCTATTGTTGTATTTTTTTAACGTAGGAATACGTCTTTAATTTCTATATGTGACCCCTAACATTAAAAAAAAAATCAAAATTCAGACATGTAACGAAGAATTCCAAACACGGACGCAACGATAGAGCGCAAATCGAACAAACGACACATTGCGCATGCTCACATGAGCAAGTTCAATGCTTGGTTGATCGCTCACCATTTCACCAATAAAAGGAAGGGAGGAGAAAAGCAGCGATAATATTAACGCTTGCCAAATCGTTTTCTTCGTCGCACCAATACGAAGACGACGCAGTGTTGCCACATTATTTCCAATTTTAATTTGTATTTTCACCGTAAAAAATCGTTTGAGTCTGTTTCTGGCTGACACAAATCCGTAAAATAATCTGTATAACTTCTATGATCTTATTGCAGATCGTCGTAAAAAATCTTTGGGTTTATTTGAAGTTCAGAATCGTTTGGAATCTTGAATAATGACTTAAGTTTGCTTTCTAAAGCATTAATCTATTTAAAAGACCTCGAAATCCTGAATCTTGATTTTTTTGAGTGATTTGTATTTTTTTAGGGCCACCAATTCAAAACTGATAGAGTTAAAGGGTGATACGGTCAAAATTTGGTCAAGGGAAAACGCGTGTAAATCGGTGAAATCGTTTATTTAAAAAATCAAATTAAATTTCTTTTTCAAGTTCAATTAGTATAAAATTCAGGAAAAATATTCAGTTAGGCTTCGGCTTTTCCAAATCCGAATTGCCGGGCCTTACGCTTGACCCCTGCCATCAGATTTTGTACAGCCACCTTGTCCACCTTCTTCGCCGCAGAAAGGCAGTTTGCCTTGAACTGCTGCTCGCCCTTAGCAGTTTTTTTGGTCTTCTTTAGGTTCCGCTTGACAATAGCCCAGTATTTCTCAATTGGGCGGAGCTCTGGCGTGTTGGGAGGGTTCTTGTCCTTGGGAACCACCTGCACGTTGTTGGCGGCGTACCACTCCATGGCCTTTTTACCGTAATGGCAAGATGCCAAATCCGGCCAAAACAGTACGGAACAACCGTGTTTCTTCAGGAAAGGCAGCAGACGTTTATTCAAACACTCTTTCACATAAATTTCTTGGTTGACAGTCCCGGAAGCTATGAAAATGCTGCTTTTCAAGCCACAGGTACAGATAGCTTGCCAAACCAGATATTTCTTTGCGAACTTTGACAGTTTCATGTGCTTGAAAACATCTGCTACCTTTCCCCTTCCTTTTGCCGTATAAAACTTCTGTCCCGGAAGCTGCTTGTAGTCGGCTTTGACGTACACAGCTAAAAAAAGTAGTGTAAATTTCCGTTACTATGATGCACATAAATGGAGCGTCATATATCATACAAATTTAGATTATAGATCGTGTAAATTTATGAGACATATCATGCAATATCCCGTATATTTTATGCAACTGTCCACTTTTGTTTGCAACATTTCTTGCAAGTTGCTAATTTACGTGAAAAGGAAGTTTACATGTATGAATGTTTGCATGCATGGATGTTTACATCGCCAGTAAAATTCAGAATTTTTTGGTGTGTAGGTTTCGTCGTCCATTACCACGCAGTCAAACTTCGTCAGCATCGTCGTGTACAGCCTCCGGGATCGCGGTTTGGCCGTCGTATTTTGTTTATCATCGCGATTTGGAGTCACTACCTTCTTGTAAGTCGATAGTCCGGCTCGTTTTTTGGCTCGATGCACGGTTGTAGACGATACACCCAGCTTATTTGCGGCATCTCGGAGAGAGAGGTTAGGGTTTCGCTTGAAACTACCGGCAACTCTCTTTGTCGTCTCAGCGGCTTCCGGTTTTCGATTTCCCCCCGATCCAGACTTCCTGGCTGTCGACAAACGTTCCCCAAACACTTTAATTACATTTGTAACGGTTGATTTGGCAACTTTTAGCGATTTTGCCAACTTTGCGTGCGAGTAGCTCGGATTTTCGCGATGCGCGAGCAAAATTTTGATACGCTGCTCTTCTTGTTTGGACGGCATTTTGACAACTGAAGAGTGAATTCCAAAATCAAAATA